TCACCGTTGCCTTATTCAACTCTCGGTAGTCTATGCACATCCTTATGCTTCCATCCTTCTTCTTTACGAATAACACCGGAGCTCCCCAGGGTGATGAACTAGGTCGAATGAAACCGTTGTCCAATAGTTCCTGAAGTTGCGTCATGAGCTCCTTCATCTCCGTCGGTGCTAATCGGTAAGGTGCCTTTGCTATCGGTGTTGTTCCTGGTAACAAGTCTATACGAAACTCCACTTGCCTATCAGGTGGTAATCCGGGAAGATCTTCGGGAAAGACTTCCGGATAATCGCACACAACCGGTATATTCTGCACCTCTTTCTTTTCCTTCTTAGCATCGATTACGAATGCCAAGTATGATGCACATCCTTTGGACAAACATTTCTTGGCTTTCATCAGGGAGATGATTCCAGAATTCACTTTGCGTTTGTCCCCGTACACCATAAATGATTCCTTTCCGGGTGGGTTTATCCTAACTATCTTCTTTCGGCATAACTCGGATTTCGGCGTTCCTTATATGCACGGAAACCTTGAGACATATTCTACAACTTTATGTAGAGATATCGGGATTATCTCACACTTTAATTTTGACGCTTATTTTTATTCTTTATTAAATATATATTTATAATAAAGTAATAAGCACACAAATACACATAATTCATATAGAATTAGAAATTTTCATTTTTATTACATCAAAAAGAGTTACAATAGTTGACCTAGACTATTACATCATCTAAAAATGCTTAGCCCCGAAACCCGGGCGTTACACGCATGTAGTGACGACCAAGCCCACGACGTGGAAAAAGGTTGCCACGACGTGGCAATGGCCCAATTTGCCCTATAAATAGATTTGAAGGGCCAGCCGTTTAGGGTTGCTATTTTCTCTTTTCTCTCTCCCGTTTTACCTCGATTTGCATGCCTGAAGTACCCCGAAGCCCCGGTAATATCCCCGAGTCCCGAAGCAAGTCCCGAGATCCCAAAGATCCCGAGAAGTGCGGTTTCCGAGCCGAAGCTCTGCCCGCGAGAAGTTCGATTTTTGCAGAGATCTTCCAGATCTACCGAAGAATACTACTTCTGCAAGTCGTAGTGCTGTCCGATCATCTCCTGATCAAGTGAGTGTATACTACCTTTCATAAACACGATAATAATACAAGTATGGTTTGAGTGTATTAAGTTTATTGTTGTTTATATGTGTGAGTGTGTAGTTACTTTCTTCTAACACATAAATATGATGTATTTGCTATGAAATACGTGTTATGTGTTTATATGTTATTTGTCTATTTGAGATGGGCATGGAAATTGGAGTTTTATACAAGTGTTAAATGATTTAAACTGTGCAAGTATTTATATCTACAAAATTGTTGGGTAGAAAATAGGTAGATGGAATAGTTTGTGACTATGGAGTTAGCGCCTATTGTATAAACCTTGGCGACTATGGAGTTAGCGCACGTTGAGTAAACCTTGGCGACTATGGAGTTAGCGCTTGTTGAGTAAACCTTGGCGACTATGGAGTTAGCGCTTGTTAAGTGAACCTTGGTGACTATGGAGTTAGCACCAGATAACTATGGATTTAGTACTTGATAAATAAGCTTTGGCAGCAATGGAATTCATGCCAAATTCCTTACGAATAAATGAATGAAGGATAGTTGGTTCTTAGGGTAAAACCTTAAGGAGATAATGGGGATGGGTAATTGGGTTGATTGTTTGCTGATTACATATAATAATTATATTATTGTGGGTTGAAAACCCTATGCTCACCAGGCTCCCAAGCCTGACCCACTCAGTTTTCTTTTCATTACAGGTAATGGCACAAGGGTAAAAGTTGGTGGACTTGACGAGAGATTTTGGATTATAGATCAGTAGTTGAATAATTATTGTAAGGTATATTTTATATTGTTTATGCTTTTGGTCTGTATCGAACATGACATCCCAAGGTTTTATTATTTAATGAAAATACATTCTTTTCGAGAAATGTTTTGATAAATGGTTATCATATTTTATTCTGGGAACAAATTCCGCAACTCTTTTAATCAAAAGATTACTCTGATTTTATAAAACAAATCATAAACAAATCGGTCTTTTCTGGCCGTGAAATTGGGGATGTCACACATTGGTAAGCTGTGAAACGAATACTTCGCTATCTCAATGGAACCTTACATCACTGTCTCCATTTTAAATCTCATCAAGAATCTTCACTAGTTGCATTCTCAGATTTTCGATGGATATCAGACACGGATGATAGTCGATCTCCATATGGTTTTGCTGTTTTTCATGGCCCAAACTTGATCAGTTGGACATCACAAAAGCAACGAGTAGTAGCTCGATCCAGCACTAAAGCTGAATGCAGAGTGATCACCTACACAACATCCGAACTCCTTTGGATTAAATAACTACTTCGAGATCTTCATGTAGCTGTATCAAAACCTCCAATTATACTTTGCAACAATGTCGGTGCCACCTTCATGTGTAAAAATCCAGTCATCAGTTCTCGTTCCAAGGATATAGCCTTAGATTTCCATTTTGTTCGGGAACAAGTGGACGCTGGTGCCCTTCACATCGGCCAAGTGCATTCGGCCGACCAACTGGCTGACATCTTCACAAAATCACTGCCTAAAGATCGCATAGCTCATCTTCGTGACAAGCTTCAAGTCAGACCTGCCTTTGATCTTGCCGGGGGGTAATAACGGATATACTAAATTAACATGTGTTTGTAAAAGTAGTTATTAGAATAAGTCATACTTATCCTGGTCTCATGGTACTATCATTCACGTGCCTATGTATTAGGAGTTAGGTAGTGTTGTGTATTTGTATTGTTGTATAAATACCTGTGTACCACATGATATAATGAACATCAATTTTCACTGTCACTTTCATAAAGTTTACATTGAATATAGAAAAAAACAGAAAATGGAGAACATCAGGAAATTACAGCAGATGTACATTCTTCCTTGAATATATATACACTTATACTTTTAAAATCAAACAGCAAAAGCAAAGTCAAAGAACCTAAATCGAACATCCAAATCAGAATAAAAAATGTTGAAGAAGAACAACATGAAATTAGCGGTCTACATGAAGAAGAACAACAAAAAAAATCAATCTTGGAGGTCCACGTGAGAAGAACACCCTCACCGTCTAAAAATACCAAGGGCAAAGTGAAGGTTGTCATCTGCTGCTAAGGATGATGCACTGGTTTCTACAAAGACACAAACCAAGATAAAAGAAAAGAAGGAATACGGTGGGGAAGCTTCTACGGTTCCCGATCTAGTATCTTCGATGAAAAGCTCCAGAGAAAAGTCGGAGAAGCCGAAAGTGAGAGCAAAGTCGAATGAGAAGGTGAAAGACAAGGAATAAGATGTATAGGATAGCCAATTTATTGGAGATTCGACCCTACAATCGATTGGGAAGGACTTAGGGTAGGGATGGAGTTCACAGTTGTGAGGAGGAGTTCTTCATCTTCCTCTGTTCTTTCATTGATGAGCGCGATTTAGGGAGATCTGGTATCTTTGATTTAGAGCATCTCCAACCCATTTTCATTCTCCATTATTTCCTCCATTTCTTCTCACATTCCTCTCCAACCCTACCCAATTTCTTCCCCCATTTTGGGAGAAATGAATAGTATAACACCATATTTGGTGTTATACTATTTATTTCTACCAAAATGGGGATGAACTTTGAGTTGTCGGTTTTAGTCCCTCGTCTTATATATTCATAGATTTCTAGTTTTTTTACCTACTAATTATTAATTAAATGTAATATTTAATACTTATAACATTGTGTTATATATTAAATTAGATTAATTAATTATAAATATAATTTTTTTTGTTTGTTTATCAATTTCATATTAAAATTTAAATACATATTAAAATTTTAAAATACAATAATGTATTTTACAAAAGCTTATAATTACGTATTATAAATATAATATTATTTATTTAATATTATTGTAATGAAAAAAAGTATAGATTATATATTTGTTAAAACCAAATTAATAGAAGAGGTGTATTTGACAATTTATATAAGTTAAAAGAATGAAATATACTTTTTGGGGATAAAACAGGGGTAAAACAGGGGTAAAAAATGGAGTAGGGTTGGAGATGAAATACTATTTACTCCATTTTTTACTCTATTTTTAGGGGAGAAAATGGAAATGGGTTGGAGATGGTCTTAGAGGAAAAATGCATATTAAGGGTTTGATTTTTTAATTTTGAAAATTTGAAAAAAGCCACCTGGAGTACATGTTGATTTTTTAATTTTGAAAAAATAAAAAAACCCATCTAGACCAAATGTAACCGGTGAAACCAGAAGTAATTTACAAGATTCTCCTATTTAACGGTTAAAATGACGGTTTAAGGATCTATTGTGCAAAAAAAGAAAAAATCCTTTAGTGACCAAACGGGAAAATAGTAGAAGTTTATTGTGCTACAGTGATATTTTCCTAAATGTTTATTAATATTAAAGAAACTATATAGTTAAATTTTAAGGATAAAATAGACTTTTCAATTTTGATATGAACCAAATTCATAAAGAAACATGTTAAAAATGATATTTTTCACAACTTTCAAATGATTTGGACTCGATTAAATTACAAACTACAATGATCATTTTTTAGCATTGTCAAAAAACAAACCGACAATCGAGTGCAAATTGAAACCACGAAACTCATCATCGAGACGAGGCTTTGACCAAACACGAATCATTTTTGAAACCATAGGTATCATTCGTGTAATTTAGAATAATTGGTTAAAGGGTGATCAGTTAAAAACTAACGAATGTGACTTAATAGACAACGAAGAAATATATACATTTTAATGACCAAATCTAGCCATACACATAAGTTTATATGTTAAATTACATTTTTCCAATTATTTAAGCAAATGGTAGATTCATATAAACTCTTTTTTTTGCCTTCACTTTCTCTTAGACCAAAAAATGGGGATCCTTGAATTATCACTCCATCAAGCCCTAAAACTGGATATAAAGGAGTTGAGTATACAGGTTAAGGATGAGCATTAGAACTGTTATAATCGGAACCGGACCGAAATTGATAATAAGGTCCATTACCGGTTCTCCATTTTTATGAAAACTGGTCCCGGTTCTAAAAACCGAAACCGATTTGACATTTTTTCCGTTTTCTAAAATGCGTATAACTCACTGATATAAAATCGAAATTACTTGAATTTTTTTTTTCCAACATATAATTTGGAGTTTGTAATTCATTTTTAATTGTACAAATATATATTTTGGTTAGATATTAAATTAGACACATGCCCTGAAAGAAATAATATCGATTCTACTTTTTTTTTTTTTCGATTTCATTATTTTATTTTTTGTTTTTTTTGAATCTGTCATGTTTTTTTTTAAATGTGCATAACTCATTCATATAACGTCATAATTATTTTTTTTTTCAGTATGTTATTTGGTGTTTGTATTTCATTTTAGACTATACAAAAACATATTTTAGTTAGATATTAAATCAACTATAGATCCCGGAAGACAATATCAATGCTACGTATTTTGTGTTTCAACATTTTGTTTTTATTTTTGGAATCTGTCATGCTTTTAAAATGCACATAACTCTTTCATATGAAGACAAAATTATTTGATTCTTTTTTCATCATGTAATTTAGTGTTTGTACTTTCAATTTAGAATGTAAAAAGTCATAAGTCATAATTTGGTTAAATATTGAATCATTTACATGCTCCGAAAGGTAACATATCATCCACAACATTTCAACCGGTTCTAATTTTAAAAATAATCGAAAAACCGGGACTGAAACCGGAACCGACGCTAGAACCGACGGTCCCGTTCCCAGTTTTTATTATATAGGAAAACCGGTTACGGTTCAAAACCGTTCCAATTCTAAAGCTCGTTGTTATTGCAATTGATAATGGGTCGATGTGGATCATTTCTTGGACATTAAAAAATGTCTTGATGGGGAGATGGGGAACGAGAGAAGAGGTGGTTTTTAGAAAATATTAATATAAAATAATTAGTAAAAAACAAAATTACATATTAACAAAAAGACAAAACATGATAAAGTTGTATATTTTTTTTTATAAAAACTTAACAAATGGATTTCTAATGGTGTGTAAGAGAGATCCTTAAAAAAATAAGGTAAAAAACAAGTATTATAAAAAAAGAGTTGAACTCAAGTTGTATGATCATGGAACCACATGGGCCATTTATGTTTGTCAAAAAGTTATAATACAAGACACTGTTACTAAAAAAAGAAAAAACAAACCGACAGTCGAGTCGAGTGCAAATCCAAGTACTCACCGAGTCACCGAGTCACCGAGTCAAATAACAGAAGTGGAGCGGTGAGTTGTCGGTGGCGAGTTCACTTCCAGTTGGTGAGTCGTCTTCAAAGCTTCACATACGTTTACTTGATTCCAAATCCAGCCTGTTCCACATTAAACAACGAGCATCTTTCATGATTCATACACCCTAACCGAACCCCATCTGTCAATCTCCACCGTTCATTTCCTCACCCTACCCATTCTTCCATTGACAGAAATACTTGATCTAACACACACAACATTCCACCTTCATTGAATTCGAGGCAAAGGAAAACTACAAGCAAGATTTTTTTCATACAAAAAGCAATTGCATTTCAATCAATTAAACAATTCAGATCCTGTGGGGAGAAGTCTCCACTCTCAGTAAGTTGCACATTCTACTATCATGAAATCGCACAGATCTCTTTTGTTTTCAGTTCGTATTTTTAAAACCCCTGAAAGGAAACAAAATTCGTTAATGGGTATATTGTTTTAGTTGTAAATTGTTAAATTTAGCATATGGGTCTTTCAATTTCATGTTTCCAAGAAATTTTCACCGATTATCAAGTAAAGGAACTTGATTTATCATTAGGTATTTTGTTTTTGCTAAATGCCCAAATAATCTTGGAAAGTAAGCTGATTTATAATTTGGGTATTTTGGTTTATTTATCTTCTGCTCAGTTGAGATTGTGATCCATTTTAAATCCCATGTTTTTATCATAATCTTCATTACAATCTTAAAAGAATAAATGTTTCGTTACTGTGTACACTGTTTCGGTTATCATCTGTTCTTTATAGCATCTAGATCTTTCTGATTCATGTTTCCTCAAGATATTTTCACAAAATGCCCAAATAGAAAGGGAACTGATCTATTATTGGGTTCATTAATTCACCTATCTTTTGCTCATTTCAGATTGAGAATTATCTTAAATCCTGTATTTCTCAAAATCTCCATTTAAACCATAGAAGGAAAAAAAATCCTTTATTCGGTATAAGTTCTTAGATCTTATGATTCATGCTTTTCCCAAGAAAATATCACCAAATGCCCAAAGAAACAAAAAAAGTATCTTGACTTATTACTGAGGTGCTGTTTGTTTTTTAAAAAAAACCACTTATTGCTGCACCGCGCAGCACACGCGCAGCACTTGGCCATTTGCAGCTGTTTGTTTTTCAGAAGACTTCTGACTTAAAAACTGCTGCGCGTGTGCTGCGTGGCGCAGCACTAAACCAACTGCTTCAAACCTCTTCACGCATTAGTTTAACTTACTGCAGCAGTCTGCAGACGTTAAAAAACAAACATAATTTTTATTACATGCTGCAGCCGTTTGTTCCACCTCTTCTGCTACAGAGGATTGAAGAGGTGGTCCGCAGACTTCAAGCAATTTCTCTTCGAAAAAACAAACAGCACCTGAGTATATCGTTTTATTGCTCTTCAGCTCATTTGAGATCGTGATTCATCTTATATCCATGTTTTTTCTATTCATTTTCACTAAAATCCCAATAAAGAAGAAATCATAACCTATTTTTTTCTCAAAAAAATTCCCACCCACATCACATTAATCTCTCTTATTCTTTTCTACAAAAAACACTCACTTAACAAGAAAAGTATCTTAATTTATCATCAGGTAAACAAAAAAGCATCTGGGTATCTCTTAATTTAATCCCCTTTCAAATCTTTTCAACAAAAGGACCTCAATTTCTTAACGGGTTTTCTGTTTTTGCTATCTTTATTGCAGAAAAGAAGAATGGGGACAAAGAATATTTGTCTTTTGGTGTTATGTTTACTCTTTGTGATAGCATCAATGGTGGATGCTGATACTTCACCTGTAACAGTGAAGAAGATAAAGGGGAAGAAAGTATGTGATCAGGGTTGGGAATGTAAAGGGTGGTCTGAATATTGTTGTAATCTGACAATATCTCAATATTTTGATTATTATCAATTTGAGAATGTTTTCTCAAAGAGGAATAGCCCTGTGGCACAAGCTGCAGGTTTTTGGGATTTCAAGTCTTTTATTATTGCTTCAGCTATTTATCAGCCTCTTGGATTTGGTACCACTGGTAATAAGACAACTCAGATGAAGGAGATTGCTGCTTTTCTTGCTCATATTGGAAGTCAAACTTCATGTGAGTTTATACTTTGACCTTTCTTTCTTGAATCTTGATTGATGAGGAATCTTGTTATGCATTGTTTGAATCATGAGATGTGATGATTACTTGAAGTTTGCAATCATGATAAGATTATTTTTATTGTTTGTTGTAGGTGGATATGGAGTGGCAACGGGTGGGCCCACAGCATGGGGATTATGCTACAATAGAGAAATGAGCCCTAATCAAGATTATTGTGATGAGAGCTATAAATACACTTACCCTTGTGCCCCTGGAGCTGACTATTATGGTCGTGGTGCTCTCCCCATCTATTGGTATCTTATTCTTCCTTTTTTCTTAATAAGAATGAATGACCATTTTACCCTTCTCAACAATTCCTGTCCCCATTAACTCAGTTAACGCTTGTTTTTTCTTCTCTCCATTGAGTGCTGAATGAATAAACAATGCAAAGACTGTTTCTTGTTTTGGACTAATGAACCGTCTGAATCACTAGTAAATGACCATTTTACCCTTCTCAACAATTCCTTCCCCCAATAACTCAATCAACGTTTGTTTTTTCTTTTTTTCTTCTCTCCATTGAGTGCTGAATGGATAAACAATGCAAAGACTTTCTTTTTTGGACTAATGAACCGTTTGAATCAACAGTAAATGACCGTTTTACCCTTCTCAACAATTTCTGTCCCCATTAACTCGATTAACGCCTCTTTCTCTTTATTGAGTGCTGAATGGATTAACAATGCAAAGACTGTTTCTTTTTTGGACTAATGAATCGTCTGAATCAACAGTAAATGACCATTTTACCCTTCTCAACAATTCCTTCCCCCAATAACTCAATCAACGTTTGTTTTTTCTTTTTTTCTTCTCTCCATTGAGTGCTGAATGGATAAACAATGCAAAAACTGCTCCTTTTTTGGACTAATGAACCGTCTGAATCACCAGTAAATGACCATTTTACCCTTCTCAACAAGTCCTGTCCCCATTAAGACAATTAAGACCTCTTTCTCTTTTTTTGAGTGCTGAATGGATAAACAATGCAAAGACTGTTTCTTTTTTGGACTAATGAACTGTCTGAACCAACACTAAATGACCATTTTACCCTTTCTCAACAAGTCCTGCCAATTTTAAGAGTTGTTTCTTTTTTTTCCCATCTTTGGAGCAAATACTGTATGAACAAAAACTTTTTCTTTTTCAGACTAATGAACCGTCTGAATCAACACTAAATGACGATTTTACCCTTTGTCAGGAACTACAACTACGGATACATTGGTGACTGCCTACATGTGGACCTTCTCCACCACCCTGAATACATCGAACAAAATGCGACTTTAGCTTTCCAAGCTGCAATGTTTCAATGGTTGACTCCATTAAAGAAAGGTCAACCATCAGCCCATGATGCAATGGTTGGGAACTGGAAGCCCACCAAGAACGACACATTGTCCCACAGGACACCTGGATTTGGGCTCACCATGAACATCCTTTATGGTGAACGTGTATGTGGAAAAGGTGACATTGATGACATGAACACCATTGTTACACATTACTTGTATTACCTTGATTTAATGGGTGTTGGGAGAGAGGAAGCTGGGGCCCACGATGTCCTCACATGTGCTGAACAGAAAGTCTTCAACCCAGCAGCTCCAAAAAAGGCGGCTTCTAGTTAAAGCTTTGGATTCTTGAAATAATAATAAAAAAAAATGGTGCCCTTTGAATGAATGAATGTTGGTGTGAAATGTTTAGGTTGGGGCTTAGTAGTTTGTGAATGTGAAGCTGGGGATTGATGAATGGATTGATTCTTCGGTTTATAGATTCAGAATCGTTTTGTTTCCTAAATGTTATTATTTATTTTTGTGAATTTTGTTCTTTTTTTTTTAAATGAATATTACAGACAAGACTTATATAAATGGGTTTTTGTGTTTGCTTTTGTATTATAAAGCTTGTAATAAGTTTGTATGAACATGTTTCATGTTAATTGTAAAATTCTTATTTGTCAGTTCTCTTGGAAACTTGTGATTTTTGAGTATTTGTTATTTAGGCCGGACAGTATGGAGTGCGGGGAGACGGTGCGGGACGTTTCCCACACAGGGGAACACCGCACCGTGGGTGCGGGAAGAGGGTGGGGGTGGGGATACCGTGTTCTCACTCCTCACATGATTGGTCGGTTATTTTTTTTATTGCAACAGCTATGTAGCCGTTAATATATATAATTTGTTTTTTTTTTCCTTTTCTTAAACTATAAATACCACAACATCCAATTATTTTTTTAACTCATACTTTATATTTCTCTTCAAAAAATATTATTCAAAATGACATCATCTTTGTCATCCGATTCGATGGCTGTAGAGGAGGTTAAGTTTATCGGTTTCGTCATGGCGAAACGGTTGCATACTGTCAAAACCGACTAGGCGAAACATCACGTGCACGATTTAAACCAAAAAAGTCGCGGTTGCGTAGAAATCACGAACCCGGACACGATCACCTTATAGAAGATTATTTTGCAGATGACGCTATCTACGTTGTAAAGTTTCGACGTCGATTCCGGATGAGGAAGGAACTATTCTTACGTATTGTTGGAAGGCCGTTTTCCATATTTCCAATGGAAAATGGATGCAAGGCGGATAAAAGGTTTCTCTCCCGTTCAAAAATGCACGGCTACAATTCGTCAACTAGCATACGACATGGGCGCAGATAAATGGGATGAGTATTTTAGGATGTCAGAACATACCGTGCGTGAGTGTGTGTACAAGTTCTACAAAACGATCTGTTTGGTTTATGGGCAACGATATTTGCGCAAACCAACTATCAACGATATCCACCAATTGTACACGGTGCATGAACGCAAACATGGATTCCCTGGAATGCTAGGTAGTATCGATTGCATGCATTGGAGTTGGTCATTATGCCCCAACGCATGGCGTGGTCAGTACATGAGAGGCGACCACAAACAGCCGACGATCATTCTAGAGGCTATCGCATCATATGATCTTTAGATATGGCATGCATTCTTTGGTCCAGCTGGTGCAAACAATGATATCAATGTGCTAGACCAGTCTCGGGTATTCAACGATATCTACCTTGGAAAGTCACACGATGTACATTTTCAAACAAATGGGGTAGCATATAAGCATGAATACTATCTTACTGACGGTATATATCCTCCCATGCCTATTTTTGTGAAATCGTTTACATATCCTAACGACCCGAAAAGGAAAAAGTTTAAAGAGGCGCAAGAGTCAGCTAGGAAGGATGTGGAGCGAACATTTAGTGTATTTAAGAGACGTTGGCAAGTACTAACGGTCGGGGTAAGGTCGTATGAAGTGAAAATGTTACAGCACGTAATGTATGCATGTATCATATTGCATAATATGATTCTTGAAGACGAAGGAAGAGCGATATGCCGGTACAACGAACATGAAGTTTTGGCCAAATGCCAAAGGAGTAGTCGTTGGTACACAAGAGTATATGGTGAATAGAAGAGAAGTACACAATCGCGACATTCATCAAGCCCTTCGTGCTGATTTGATGGAGCACATTTATAGGGTTCATATTCAGCCCCTGATAGAGTTTTCTCACGATGATTTGTTTGACGAATCAGATAATATTTTGATATTTTCGTCGAGAGTGAACATTCCGACGACGAGAGTGATGCTGGGGAGAATGACGAATACGATGAAGGCGATGACGAGGACGATGAGGGCGATGACGAGGACGATGATTGCGAGTGACGTATTTTGGTTTATTTAAAATTAGGATATTAACTATGTTTTCTATGTTGTGGGTTGTTTGCATTTTTTTTTATTTTCTACTTATTTATATATCCGTTTTAATGTAATTTTTATTTTAATTAATGAAATGCTTTTTATTTTTAATTAAATTTTATGTTTAGTATTAATTTAAAAATTATAAATTACAAAAATTAATTAATTTTATTTTAAAAAAAAATAGTGAGAGAAGCATTTTCCATCTATTCCTTGGGTTTTAGATGAGGGAAAGAAAAGTAAGAAAAATGGTGATATGACCCACAAAAAATAAGAGAAACCTGCTTCCCATACCCTCCGGTCTTGGAGTAATATCATAATATGACTAAAGCTTTAAGAGTTGTTAAATTTTAAGATTATCTAGTTTTAACCGATTGATTTGTTATATTTTAGTTTTTCAAGTTATAATAACAAAATTATTACCAATTTTACATAATGAATTTCACAAAATCACCTTTTCTTTTACAGAACCCATTTTTTGCATAATAATGGTGTCATATAAAAAAGAAAGGTATTTGTTAGTAGAAACTACCCAAAACTATTTTGTAGTAAGAGACCACTCAAAAACTATTTCGCCAAGCTTATTTTACATGATATTTATTTAAAAAGTAATTATTTTGTGATAAATGAGCTTATTTTTGTAATGACAAAATTGCAAAAATGGTCCCTATGGTATGTATTTTTTTCGGGTTTTGGTCCAAACCACGTGTTTTTTTGGTTTCGTGGTCCTTTTGGACTGGTTTGGTTGTGAAAATAGTCCCTCCGAAAATTAAAATGACTATAATACCCTTGGGGTATTTATTTTTTATTTTTTTCATTTTTTTAAATCTAATAATAATAATTTAATTATTTAAACAATTAAATAATAAGTCTTTCTCTCTCTCTCTCTCTCTCTCTCTCTCTCTAAATTTTTAATCTTCCCAACTATGGATTTGGCATCAAGATCTCGTTCACACAACCCTGGAGAACCTCCAGGTCAATCGCAGCCTAGAGTTGAGCTACCCAAACCCATCGTCGTTCTGTGCTTGTTCACTCAAACAACCTTGGGGAAAACGTACAAGGAGAATGGTGGCTCGAAATCGCAAACGAAGCATCAACGTCCTTTTTCCTTTTCCCCTTTTGATTATGAATATACGTAGACCCGGTGCAAGTGCATACCTCTGTTTTTCTTTTCAAATCACCTGCCGGAGTAGTCACATAAACACCCTAAAATTCTCCATCGCTGCACTAATGGAGTTTAGATCAGGATTCAATGCGTAGCTGAAGTAAAATCAAGTCCAAGTCAATCTTCAATGGCGGTGTGATAAGAACAGTGCTTCAATTAAACGAAGTGTTCAGGCCCAGATTATGGATTCTACTATAAAACCTGCAACTACTTCTAGTGAGTTTTTTGCTCTTTCATTGAAGATCTTTTATGTGGAGCAAAATTGAATCTCATGAACTCCCCCTCCCCCCTGAAGATTGTTACGATCGTTGCTGCCTTTCCCCCTTTCATCCACCATTTCTTCTTCGCTCCCTATCCTGAACCCACCACCGAAGTGGGTGTTTCCCTAGAGCAAACATCGGAGGCGGAAGCCCCCTTTTGATTCCCCACCTTCACACCTTCCTTCTGAGACAGAAGAAGTGCAGGAGCTGCTTTCCTTACTCCCCAGCTACAAACCAATAAGGCACCGGAGGTGCTCTTCTTCTCAAAGGGTCTTCCACCACCAAGCCTTCCCTGTCACTGCCTCGTTCGTGATTATCCTTCTCGATCAGATGAAAACCAATGACCGGAGGTCCCTTTTCCCATCGTCGACAGCATAAGGTTCCCCCGTTCTCCTATTTCCTTTCTCGATAGATGAATCATTGGAGGGACAGATGAATCATTGGAGGCGATTGATTAAAATAATTTGCCTTAGGGTTCTAATTCGGACTGAAAAAACAAATTAAAAGGGAGAGAGAGAGAGAGAGAGAGAGAGAGAGAGAGAGAGAGAGAGAGAGAGAGAGAGAGAGAGAGAGAGAGAGAGAGAGAGAGAGAGAGAGACTTATTATTTAATTGTTTAAATAATTAAATAATTATTATTAGATTTTAAAAAATGAAAAAAATAAAAAATAAATACCCAGGGTATTATAGTCATTTTAATTTTCGAAGGGACTATTTTCACAACCAAAATCCAAAAGAACCACAAAACCAAAAAACATGTGGTTTGGACCAAAACCCGGAAAAAATGCATACCACATGGACCATTTTTGCAATTTTATCTTTTGTAATTAAATTACTTCCTCATCCCACCATAAATCTTTGGCTTGATCATAATACAAAATGAAATAAATAAATAACCGAAATATCTTTGAACAAAACAAAATGAGAAATTAAATTGATTCATTTTATGCCTACAAATGTTCTTATCCAATAAAATTATGACAAATGTCATAATTCCATATTTTTTTAACTAATTTATTAAGTCTATATTATGAATATATCAAATAAAATAAAATTAAATGGTGATTTGTCATAAATTTAATAGGTAGAAATAATTGTAGGCATTAAAGACAAGAGGTAATTTAATTTCTCAAACAAAGTTGAAATAAAATAAATCTGAACAAAATCAACCTGAATATAAGTTGGTAAATCATAATTAGATCAACCAGTTAATAACAAAAATAGATTATAAGGAGAGCAATAAATTTCCAATGTATGTTGGTGTAAAAGGTACCCAAATATTCATTTAGATTCTATTTTGCATTTACAAGCTAGTTTATTTTTTAAGCTTATTCTTATTGCAACTTAGTGTTTGGTGAAACCATTGAAGTAGCTTATCATAGCTTATAAGCGAGTTTTCTGATAAACAATCTGAGATAACTTAATGATAAACTAAGGGGCTGTTTGTTTTTTGTGTGAAGATCTGCGCAACCATTTTTGTCTGCGCCGCGCAAACATATGCCCTCGCAAAGTGTTTGTTTTTTGGAAGTGCACAGACCAAAAAAACATATGTACGAGACTGTCTTCAAAACCTCATTTTAACCTAAAAAAAAAACAAAAACATGCACTACCGTGCAGTTTTTTTTTCTTTCTTCTTTTTTGTTGAAAATACATTTTTAATGTTTATAATGTGAAATTAAGTTTGAAAATTCAATTTATTTCAACAACCACAAACGTTAAAAACAGTCTTCTTATTGCAGATTGCAGACATTTGATTCACCTCTTCTACCGCAGAGGTTTGCAGATGTGGTCTACAGACTGCAGATGTGGTCCGCAGACTGCAGAC